TTTCCCGACTTAGGTGAAAAATTGGTTTTGTAGTGGTTGATACTGCAATAAAATAAATGGCCTCAAACTGCTGGCAACTGAATGTGAAAAGATTATTCCCACACTACTACTCCTATTTTAGTCAGGTTCATGTGCTGGTAATACTTGTGAGAGAAACCATTTTAAAATTAGCCTTACTGGCTGTCAAGATGACTCATCATCTTGATTCAACCTGCTTTATAGCTTCGACTAACTGATTTTGACTGGTGGCCAAAAAGGGCAACTTAGTTAGCTGTTTACAGTTTTGTAATGGAATTTTGTATTTTATATTTTTGTACCATAGACAACCTCATTTTTCAATGAACCAGAGTATTTCTGTCTACTGAAATTATTTGCTTCAGGGCTGTGTTTCTCAGCACCACCAAATCTGGGTTACTTTGAAGAAAACTGTAGACCTACACTTCAGGCTGCATAAGTATTTATATTCTAAAAGATAATTTATAAACATGTCAAATTACCCTTTTGAGCTGAAATTTGTCCCATTTGTTCAGAGTTATGAAAATATAAGCAAAAATGGTTCAGGTTGTTTTTTAAACAAAGGGAATGGAAAAAATGGAAAAAATGTTGTAGGGCCAGCCTACAACATTTTGGCACCTGAGGCGGGGAGCTCAAATGACGCTCCCATGCTCCCTCGCTTGAGCCAAAACTTTGAAAGGTCTCAATTCTGCCTTCTTCCTGTTCTACTCCTCTCATGGTACTGCTCTCCTACCTACCCCAATAAAGGAGAACTAACAACTTAAAATGCCTTGTTCAAAAATTTTAAGTAACACTTAACTTTCAAACGCCTGAACAGCAAATGTAACTTTTCTTGTCTTCATAGTAAACACTGGCATTTTTATCTGTTTGAATAATCAAAGTGGTGCTTTCCATGCCTTCTTGGTTGCAAAGATTTGAACTGCTTCCTGAAGGTCCACAGTCTGGGCCAGCTCATGATCTACTGAGATGGTTGCAAGGGCGACCAGCCTCTCCTGTGTCATTGTGGAGCGTAGATATGTTTTTATTAACTTCAGCTTGGAGAAGTTGTGTTCTTCACTGGCAACAGTTACAGGAAGTGTTAGAAGTATGCGCAGAGCAACAAAAGCATTTGGAAAGAGGGTGGTCATCTTATTTGTGCACATATATTCCATAACAGCCTTTGGAGTTGATCCTGCTGAAATGTATCTTGAAAGGGCTTTTAGTTCATCACCTAAATCACTCGCATCAATATCGCGCATGTCATCATGTGTCAACCCTGTCACTAGTGCCCTGCATTGCTGGTGTAGGTCTTCTTCAGATATAGTGAGGAGTTTTGGAATATCATACAACATCCCAAATACACTGCTGTGTTCCTTGAGCTGCATGAAATGTTCTTCAACTGACTGTATTGCACAATCTAGCACCTGGTTAAAGAATTCAACTTTGAATTGTTGTTTGGGGTCTCTTATGGGATTATCCTGTGCCTCGTAATCAAAATGTCTTCTTCTTCGGTGACTCTTGTATTCTTGAATGGGTGGGAAAATAGCTTCAGTGCGAAGTTCCTCTGCCAACTTCTGTGCGCTCTTCAGAACGTTTTGAAATCCTTCATCTGACTGGTAAGACAGTAGGTATGACTTTGCTTTGTCCAGTTGTTCCATTGCTCCAGATATATCAAGGTCAACACCTTGGAGTCTCTTGCTTACAACATTTATTTCAAACAGTATATCATGCCACAACACTAAGCCACAAAGAAATTTGAAGTTATGTATGTTTCTGGTGATTCCATTTCCCTCTGCCACTGTTCTCCCATGAACAGTTCCTGTCATAGCATTATCCTCCATAATGGAAACTATGGCATCATCTATCTTCCCAATCTGGTGTTTGATAGGCTTTATCGCCTCCACTAGACTTTCCCATCGTGTGGCACTCAGTGGTTTCAGTGTCAGAGAGGATGTTCCCAGATGTTGCTTCAAAAATTGCCATCGATGAGTTGATGCAGAGAAAAATACATAGATGCTTTGAATTACATTAGAAAATTCAGCAGTCTCACTAGAAGCTGATGCTGCATCACTGACCACTAAGTTCAATGAATGAGAACTGCATGGGACAAAAAAAGCTCGAGGGTCGGATCTGTGTCTGCACTCCTCTGTTCTTACATCTCATGTTGGCACCATTAGCCCTGACCTCTCATGTCAGCTATTGCAATTCCCGTATCTTCCAGCTTTTTAAGAAGCACATTTATCATACCAGCTCCTGTAGTATCATCAATGTCAATAAATTCTAGAGAATGCTCTCCGACAGTCACCATTGCAGGGACATTTTCACTAGGTTCTGTTGTTGTTACAAAATGCACCATTAAAGTAATTTGTTCCGTATGGCTGATGTCAGGTGTGCAGTCCAGAATAACAGAGTAATATCTTGCTGACTTCAGATCTGCCACAATCTTCTGTTTGACTTTTGTTGCCAATAACTGTATGATCTCATTTTGAATCGTTCTTCCGAGGTAGTGGTGTATGTACATTTCTTGGGTGGTGACTCTTCTTAGATGCTCCTGGAGTACAGCATCAAACTCAGCCATCAGCTCCACAATTTTAAGGAAGTTTCCATTGTTTGGTACATACAGTTGATCTGAAGTGCCACGCAGTGCTAGGTTTTGGGTAGCAAGCATTCTCACAATGGCAATGAGCCTTTTCAGAACATTTTGCCAGTAAAGAGACTCTGATGCAATTTTCTCTGCATGCTGATCATCTATGGTGGCCTTTAACCTTAGTCTCATCTCAAGCTCTTTCCACCTATGGAATGCTCTCTGGTGATTTGCTGCCTTCTCATGGCATGCCAGATTTCTAGCCAGATTTTTCCAGTCCTTTGTTCCTGTCGAACCCAATGGGACTGGAACATTAGACTGGAAGAGTTTGCAACAAAAACAGTATGCAGCATTTTGGGTTTTTGAGTACATAAGCCATGGCCTCTCCATTTTGTCACCATTGGGGATTTCACGCCAGTAATGTGTTGGATGGAAACTTCTATTTTCATTGTCTTTGGGAAACATGAAGTTTTTCACTTGCTGTGGCCCATGCAGTACAAGGAAGTCCCTCAGGCTACTGCTCAAGTGGGTCCACAGTCCTGGATCACCTAGACTTAAGGAACTAAACTCAGCAGCAGCTGTTTCTTGCGCCTCCACCACACTCTTCTCTGATCTATATTTTTCTTCAGGAATATGCATGGTTACATCCATTTGAGATGGAGATATGGATGCTGCAGTAGCTGCCAGGTCACCTGTACTCTCACTAACTGGAAGATCAGGCATCTCCTCACCACTCACATCCTCACTGGGGCCAGAAGGCTCACCATGAACATTTGTGTTTATGTATCTCAGGAGAGCTCCTTCCTGCTTAGATAGAAAAGCTTCCTTTGCTTTCTTTCTTTTTCTGAATGCTGCTCCAGAGGCGCATTTTCTTCTTTCACTCATGACTGCTGTTCTGTGCCAGCTATAGTGGCTCTCAACACTCAGTTGAAGGGGACAAATAAACAGGCTGGTAGCAGGGCCTGAGTGAGGGAAGATATCAGCGTCTTAAGGGCTTAACTGGCTCCTACTACTTCAGTTGACTGCCTGATCTCCTCAAGTGGGTTCAGGAAAGCAGCAGGAAACAGGAAGCTCCCTGAGAAGCTGGTGTTAATCAGTCCAGGCTCTTCCTCCTAAGAGGCTCCTCCTCCTCTCTCTCTCTCTCTCTCTCTGCAGCTCCTGCTGCTTTCTGCTATTCCCTCTCACCTTTTCTCCTGCCTGCCTGTTATGTCTCTTGTGCTCTCCTTCCTCCAGCACAGTACTCCACCATCTCTGTGCATCTAGAGCAGAGAGAATACATATGCACCAGCAGCAGACACCATTTTCTACACTCTGGGTCCTAGTGGCGCCCTCCCACAGTCTGGCACCTGAGGCGGCTGCCACAGTTCGCCTCATGGTAAGACCAGCTCTGGGCCCAGCACTACCAATGGGAGACATTTACCCCCCAAAACTATCTTAAAGAGCCCCCAAATTATTTTTAGAGATGCCAAAATTATAAATCACAGCAAAATACTGACACAGTGGCCAAATTTTACTCTCCTAAAGTCTTAAAATCCGGTATTTTCCAGGGATCTAACTAACTAGCTCCTGGACTCCAGGAAGATGGTTTGTTTTTGTTTTTAAATAGTGACATCTTGGGTCCCCAAAATACCCACTTTCACCACCCCCCCCAAATAATGGGACCCTAGAACTGGTCTTGCTTTATGCATTACTATGTTACAATGCAAATTTACTGATAGCATTCCAGAAGCTTATCTGTGGGTGCCAGCTCTAAGGATCAAATCCTGGGGAAGATATCTGCAATAAAGAGTCGGGCAACCTCACCCAGCCACACTGCTGTGCAGCTAGGTTTCAGCCAATAATACAGCAGTAATGGATGTGCACCACTGCTTCCCACTAAATGCATGATTTTGATTCATGGCCATGCTGACCGTGTCCCTGTCTTGCTGACAATCTCCCTCCCATGGGACTGCCGTAGAGGTCCTCTTTGCAACCTTAGGGCTTGCTGAGTCCTCTTGAGAGAGGCGTCTCCACTGTTGTTATTCCCACATTTTAAACTGCCCTTGGGCTTTCTAGGGGTGCCACAGAATGTGCCCCTAAAAGGGTTAATAATCCACCCATGTGTAAGATTTCATACAAGGGTATCCTGTGCAACGTTGGAGTTCAGCGGCCAGAGCTGGGTGTTGGGAACCCATCTCCATGGGGCCTGATGAGCCATTGCCTGCCCTCCCATAATTGCATCTGAGCCACCGGCTCCCCGGTCCAACATCTTCCTGGGGGAAGAGAGGGTCTCGCATTGTGTAACAAAGAGAAACGCTGCCCAAGCAGTCCCCGCAGGAGGCTCAGAATGGAGCCGTACAATTGCACAGGTGGCGCTTAGATACCGGACCACGCCCGGTAAAACTCGGAAGCGTCCACGCGTGTTTTCTGCCCCACGCACAGACGGCTCTGGCCGCCGCATTCCTTCAGGCCAGGGGCGGGAAATATCCCGCGTCTCTCCCCGAGCGGCGGAAATGAGATTCCCGCCACGCACCCCTGCTTGTGCGGTCGGCTCTCGTCCTTCACTCGGCCCCCTCTCGGGAGCTGCCCGGCTGCTGACCCGGGCGGTGGGCGCGCGAGAGGAGCCCAGCTGCCAAGCCGGCTGGGCAGGCAGCGAGCGGGTCCCCGCGCCGGGCGCCTGCCCCAGGGGCGAGCGCTGCGCAGGCTGTTGGCAAGGAGGGAGGCCCTGTGAGGTCGGCGCAGCAGGAGGACGCGGGCCAGCCAGCGGCTGGTATTTATAGCACCGTGACAGCAGCGCCCTGGCGGAGCCAAAGCCTGGCTCACGTAGGCGTTTCCCGCTAGAGCAAAAGGTGGCTTCCGAGCTCGGTGAGTACATTGCATTTGTCCCTGCGTATAACAGGCTAGCTCCCCCGCCACCCGCGGGCGAGAGGGATCTTCAGCCTGGCCCCGCAGCGGCTGTGGCCACACTGCAGCGGGATTTCTCCTGCCGATGGGCAGGACTTGGCGCGGGAAGGGGGCTGCTGCAGCTAGTCGTGTGACCCCCCCGGCGCGGGAGATTACAGCCCCTCTTCTGCCCGTATGATGTGGGCAGGATTCTTCCCAAGCAGGCACGGAAGCGGGGGTGTGCGCGCGCGTGGGTGGGTGTGTGTATCACGGTGTCAGGTTCTGCTTTCCCTAATAAACAAACCGCAGTCTGTTTTAGTTGGAGACAGTCGGTTTTAACGAGCTCCACTTATTAATTCTAAAAAGATTTTTTTTTTTAAAAAAAAGCCAAATTCTTGTATTGCCCAGGAATAAAATAGGTTAAATGAGCATGCTGCAGTCCAAACGTGTTTTTAAAAATTATCCCCAAATTTCGGAACCTTTGCTAGATGCAAAGAGCACTCTTCTGTTTATTTTCTAACCTAATGCAACTAGTTAAAGCATTGGTTCCTGTTGTGACCAAATAATGTCCAGTCGGCTATGCTTTTGCTCGCTATCTGGTAACTCTAGGTTAACCTGGTGGCTAAAATATTGGGTGGACACACAATTGTCTTGTCTTTGCCCACCCACCTCTTAAATTTAAGATGTCTAATTGAATAGAATAATTACGACTTTTCTTCATGCTAACAGTAGCACAAAAAGAAGACAGGAATGTACTGACTTTGTAGTCTTAAAGGTATCTTTGGTTTCTTAATGTCTGTGACCTTGCTAAAGTCCTTAGCTTGTTTGAGTAATAACTTCCCACTTCAGGTCACTTTCTTCAATTCATAAAGTTCTTCCAAGGATGACATACTTCCTTGTACTAGCTAAGCAACTTTTAAACATACTAATATATTTTGTGCTTTCTCTAATAAAATTTTTGTTTTATATGAAGTTTGACATTGTTGCCCTGACTAGTAAATGGAATCTGTTGTTTTTAATATTTACTGAATGTAATATAGGAATCTGACAATAAGAAAAATCAGATACTGAATTTTTTTTTAAAAGTGCCTACATAAAGAGCTATACTTATCAGAGAGACCTTTGTCATTGAAACAAGTATTATGCTGTAAACATTTTCAAGAAGCATCTTATTTTTTTTCCAGGTTGTATGACACTGGCAAAAAACTGTTTTTTGTTCAGTCATGTAGACTATATTTTTAAATGCTCATCCTGTAAAAAGAACTGTTGGATTACTCCCCCTTCCACCCAGCCTGCCCACCCTGGTCTGGTTGTTTTGAACAATTGTAGTATTCTATTGCACTCCTGGCTTGGTGTCTGCATGAATATACAATGAACCTACACTCTGAAAAGTTTATATAGAGACAAATATGTAGATGGAAAAGCACTGAAACAGACCACATTGGGGAAAAAAATATAAATCTGTGCTCTTATAAGTAAACATTTCAAAATTAGAATCGTTCTTGTATTCATGCAAAGTTGTTTTGAAGTGCAGGAAATGGGAGTGCCCTGCTTGTAAGGTTGCATTTCATTATGGCCTTTATCCCAAACCAATTGAAGTAAATAGAAAGACTTCCATTGATCTCAATGAGCTTTGGGTCAAGCCCTCCATGTGTAGTAATCTCTGGTGCTGTCAATGGGACATTTATAAATCTCGTAGGTGATAAAAGAATGGACTATGTGGCTTTCATGCAGACTCAGTCCAGGTTCTTTTGAAAAAGGTGATAGAGTAGATTTAGTAGTAGGCCTGGGATCTATGTGTATGTGTGCAAAGGTGTTGGAACAATTTGTATAGTGGGGGGTGCTGAGACCCATTTAACCAAACTGTAAACCCTGTATATAATGGAAACCATTTGAAGCCAGGGGGCGTGGCAACACTGCCAGCACCCATAGTTCCAGCATCTATGTATGTATGTCAAAGAAGAGGTAGAAGGAGGGATGAAAGGTTTGGAGGCTTTGCTATATCTTTTTGAATGCATGAGACTGGCACTATGAATTTCAAGTGCCATATAACATGTTTTGTGCTGACCTATATTCATGTAGTTATACTTTAAAAAGAATGTAGACATTTTAAAAATAAAAATGGTGTGCTAAAATGTATAGCATGCCTTTGCTGAAACTAACAGGAAGTCTTAATTTTTTTTTGCCTGGGTTCTAACACAGCTTTTGATTGGAACTGTTTATCACTGGGTTAGTCTAGAATATCAAAAGTAAATCACTGAAAATGTAAAGTGGTTTGACTTTTGAAATGTCTAGGCAGCTTCCGAATTCCATGCTGATTGGTGTGTATAACAATGTACTGATATCTTTTATACACAGGCAAACAACTGTACTGAAGTATTTGAGAATGGATAAAGGCTTCCGCTACTACTTCCAGCACCCCTGGTCTCGCCTAGTTGTGGCTTACCTGGTGATCTTCTGTAACTTCTTAATATTTGCTGAGGATCCAGTATCTCACAGTCAAACAGAAGCTAATGTTATTGTTGTTGGCAACTGCTTTTCGTTTGTAACAAATAAATACCCTGGAGGAGGAGGCTGGAGGTTTCTGAAGGTGCTTCTATGGCTACTTGCCGTTCTCACAGGATTGATAGCTGGGAAATTCCTGTTCCATCAGCGTTTGTTTGGTAAGTTCTGTAATACATTAAATGACTTCTCACTAATGTTATCACTGTGTAGTTCTTTCTCTTTTTTTAAGCTTTGTATTCTTTATAATGCTTAAAACTTTGCAATAAAAACCCTCTGAAACAATGATGCAGAATGCCCTAGAGAATGTACAACAAAGATTACATTCTCGTGACACAGAGATCCATTGGTGCCGGCTGGCAAAGGGTTCAGTACTCTGTGTCAGCAATTCCTAACAGGCCTCACAACTCACTACACTGAAACACTGCTTTCATAGTATTTATCCATAAAGAATGTCCTGTAAGGTATCTAATACAAGCGTATGTCATACTGATCTTCATAATTGTGAGATATATGTGTGGATGATATTTAAGAAGTTACATATATAGACTGAAAATATATCCTGAGAGTCTGTATCGAGGTATGAGCCACCAGCACAGAGAGGTTTCAGACCAGGAGTGCTTGTCCATCTAGCAAATTGAGATGTACGTTAAGCATTGTATATTTTTTCACAGTGGGCCTCCCATCACTGGTTTGAACTGAATGCTAATAAAAAAAGAGAGACATGGGACGTCAACAGGAAAAACAAGTAACGGGGGAAAAGAGTTTTATCTGGGGGTGCACTTCAAAGGTTTACTGGACTGTAACAAGGGGACAAGTAAAGCATTTTGTTATCTGGCACTTCAGGAACTAATCAGGCAGTGTGATTGCATTTATGAGAACAGGATCTCAACTAGGGTTGGTTGAAAATTCTGCAAATAGGGTTTGGGGTGAGATAAAACTACTTTAGACAAGGATTTTAGCGTGTTAAAGTTAAGTTTAGTTTATGAAATGCATGTTATACCTTTTTGTTTTCTACGTCACCATTTCTGATTCAGTTATCCTTACTCAGTATTTCTTGAATCTTAATCTTTGATGATAAACTTATGATTTTCACTATAAATGTATATCTCATTTATATTTATATAATAAATTAAATTAATTGTTTAAATGTACTGTTTTTCCGACAAAGGCCCAAAGTAATTTGAATATATGTGTACAAGATCTGATTCAGGATTATTATTTTTATTGGCAGTGTCTGGGGCTTTTAACACGATTTTTAGATAGAGAATTCCATTTAATCAAATCAGTTTGTAAGTTGTTTCTGCTTTTTTATCCAGGCAGATGACAAATCAGCAAGCTTAAGGAAATCCCTAGAGTGAGCGCACAGCAGGCACCATCTTCTCCCCAACCTCGAGTAACGGTCATTCTTTGTTCCATTTTGAGAGACAGATACATATTTTTAAACATTCCTTTCCTAGTTCTTCCTTATTCATTTATGAACTTTCCATTTCAAATGCAAAATTAAACCCATGGAAAAATCTATAGTTCACCAAGATACATAGGCATAAGCCAAGACGACTATAATGGCGTTAACAGCCAAAAGGCACACTTAAAATTCAATTTACTCTTACCAAATACACTAAGGACAAGAAGAACAATGCTAGATTGTCATAAATATAAAGGGAAGGGTAAACACCTTTAAAATCCCTCCTGGCCAGAGGACAAACCCTTTCACCTGTAAAGGGATAAGAAGCTAGGATAACCTTGCTAGCACCTTACCACAATGACCAATGAGGAGACAAGATACTTTCAAAAGCTGGGGGGAGGGAGGAAAAAAAAGACTCTCTCTCTCTGTCTGTGTGATGCTTTTGCTGGGGACGGAACAGTAATGGAGTCTTAGAATTTAGTAAGTAATCTAGCTAGAGATGCGTTAGATTCTGATTTCTTTAAGGGCTGAGAAAATAGGCTGTGCTGGAGGGAATGGATATTCCTGTTTTTGTGTCTTTTTGTAACTTAAGGTTTTGCCTACAGGGATTCTCTATGTTTTGAATCTGATTACCCTGTAAGGTATTTACCATCCTGATTTTACAGAGGTGATTCTTTTACTTTTTTTTTTCTTCAATTAAAATTCTTCTTCTAAGAAACTGAATGCTTTTTCACTGTTCTTAAGATCCAAGGGTTTTGGTCTGTGGTCACCTATGCAAATTGATGAGGATTTTTACCAAACCTTCCCCAGAAAGGAGGGGGATAACTTTGGGAGGATTTTGGGGGGGAAAGATGTATCCAAACGGACTCTTTCCTAATAATAATAATACCGGTTAGACATTTGGTGATCTGACGTTTGGTGGTGGCAGCGATAAGTCAAGAGCAAAAGGTAAAATAGTTTGTTTTAACCTAAGCTGGTAGAAGGAAGCTTAGGAGGTTTTCATGCAGGTCCCCACATCTGTACCCTAGAGTTCAGAATGGGGAAGGAACCTTGACATAGATAAAGACTGTTTTCTTTGGAGATGTTCATCGAATGAAATAAGGGACTGGCTTGACTGAACAGGAGAAAATTTGTCATTTATTTTACTCCTTATGCAGATTATGGCATGCTTTACTTTTAAGTCATCAGAACAAAATGGGAAAACCCTTGCGGAGCTTCCTCTTCAAAGGCTGCACTGCATGTTACCATGTAATAAAGCATTTCACAGATGTCCTTTACAGTCAAGATATCCACTTGTTAACATTATTTCACACACTTTAATAAGAACACATCAAGAGGAGACTACACCCCATTATCTCTCCATGAATTCAGGAAAATGTCTAAACTGCTCCCATCTCTTCCACTGTGTGTAGCAGTCTAGCATGCTTCAAACTGCACCACATTTATAATCTACAGCAACAGTCTTTGTTGAACTGGTGTCAAATTTGGATATATAGTAGGATATATGGAGGTCCTGGTGATGTCAAGGAATTATGACGTGATTAGAATAACAGAGACTTGGTGGGATAACTCACATGACTGGAGTACTGTCATGGATGGTTATAAACTGTTCAGGAAGGACAGGCAGGGCAGAAAAGGTGGGGGAGTAGCACGGTATGTAAGGGAGCAGTATGACTGCTCAGAGCTCCGGTATGAAACTGCAGAAAAACCTGAGTGTCTCTGGATTAAGTTTAGAAGTGTGAGCAACAAGAGTGATGTAGTGGTGGGAGTCTGCTATAGACCACCAGACCAGGGGGATGAGGTGGATGAGGCTTTCTTCCGGCAACTCGCAGAAGCCACTAGATCGCATGCCCCGATTCTCATGGGCGACTTTAATCATCCTGATATCTGCTGGGAGAGCACTACAGAGGTGCATAGACAATCCAGGAAGTTTTTTTGAAAATGTAGGGGACAATTTCCTGGTGCAAGTGCTAGAGGAGCCAACTAGGGGGGGAGCTTTTCTTGACTTGCTGCTCACAAACCAGGAAGAATTAGTAGGGGAAGCAAAAGTGGATGGGAATCTGGGAGGCAGTGACCATGAGTTGGTCGAGTTCAGGATCCTGACACAGGGAAGAAAGGTAATCAGCAGAATACGGACCCTGGACTTCAGGAAAGCAGACATCGACTTCCTCGGGGAACTGATGGGCAGGATCCCCTGGAGGGAATAACATGAGGGGGAAAGGAGTCCAGGAGAGCTGGCTGTATTTCAAGGAATCCCTATTGAGGTTATAGGGACAAACCATCCCGATGAATCGAAAGAATAGTAAATATGGCAGGCGACCAACCTGGCTTAACGGTGAAATCCTTGCGGATCTTAAACACAAAAAAGAAGCTTACAAGAAGTGGAAGATTGGACAAATGACCAGGGAAGAGTATAAAAATATTGCTCGGGCATGTAGGAATGAAATCAGGAGGGCCAAATCACACCTGGACCTGCAGCTAGCAAGAGATGTTAAGAGTAACAAGAAGGGTTTCTTCAGATATGTTGGCAACAAGAAGAAAGTCAAGGAAAGTGTGGGCCCCTTACTGAATGAGGGAGGCAACCTAGTGACAGAGGATGTGGAAAAAGCTAATGTACTCAATTTCTTTCTTTGAGGCTTTCTTTGCCTCTGTCTTCACGAACAAGGTCAGCTCCCAGACTGCTGCGCTGGGCAACACAGCATGGTGAGTAGGTGGCCAGCCCTCTGTGGAGAAAGAGGTGGTTAGGGACTATTTAGAAAAGCTGGACGTGCACAAGTCCATGGGGCCGGATGCGTTGCATCCGAGAGTGCTAAAGGAATTGGCGGCTGTGATTGCAGAGCCATTGGCCATTATCTTTGAAAACTCGTGGCGAACGGGGGAAGTCCCGGATGACTGGAAATATAAATATAATATATAATATTTATATATTAATACTAATTCAGACAAAACTCCCATTGAAGTCAAGGCTTTCCAGTAGCAAGACCAATTGTCTGCAAACATCTGACTTTTTTTTGTTAAGTATCTTGTATTTATATAGCTCAGAAGTAGTTGGTGGCCCACTCAGGCTTCCCTGCTGCTTCTGATGGTGCTGATGGCATGTGGAGTGTCTGGAGTTGGTCCCTGCTGCTGGGAAGAGAAGGGGAAGCGGGGAATACAGTGGGGGAAGTGTAAGGGGTGGGGCAGGACAGCTGATTTGCAGACCCTTTGTGTCAGCATCACTGGCCCAAAGGGGCCCGAGGGCAGTGGCAAAGCAGAGCCTGAGTGTTTCAATAAATATTGCACCATCTACTTGTAATCCATGGTAACAGATGATGAACCCATGGCTCTTTTTGTAAACACACTGACATTGTGTTAACTTAAATTCCCACTGTAGCTTCACCTGACTATACCTTTCTTCTTCATGTGGTTTCCTAAGGTGCTGTGTAGTACTGTTGTGTCCTATTACATTCTGCTGTGTTCTGCTCCAGAGATGGCTGCATTCTAGTGTTAAGTAGAGTGAATTCCTGTATGTGTCCCTTACAGGAGGGTTGAGAGGTTTAACCAGTGCTCCACTGCCTAGGTGCTTGGATACCACAGTTGATGGGGGTGGTATAATGACCTACCTAGAACAGAATTTCACCTTGCGGAGTCATTTAGACCTATGCAAGCAAAAAATCAGATTTGCCATTTGTAAAATGCTTGAAATCCTCAGATGAAAATTAGTACTTGTGGCACCTTAGAGACTAACAAATTTATTGGACCATAAGCTTTCGT